TAATTGTGGAACTGGACTCCTCCTGGCTAGTCCAGCTTTTAAAGGATAACATCTCCCCACCTTGGTTTCTTCTCCCCATTTTTAAGCAAATTGCTCACATGAAGATTACTCACAACTTACAGATTAATTGAAATCATATCTTCAGGGAGGGTAACATATGTGCTAATTGGCTTGCACATCAAGGTGCATTGACTATGTTGCCTTTAGTGAATATCACCCCCCTCCGGAGTTGGCTTTGTTGATTAATGCAGATCTGTCTGATCTGCCTAATAATAGAAGGGGGGTGTCAACTGCTGAAACTTCTAATCATTCTGCCTAGAGAGGGCTTCTTGTTTCCTTGGGACCTTGCTGATTTGGAACTTTCTATTTTATTCTTCAGCCCCTCTTGTATTGGGAAATGTTTTGACATGTTACAATTGGATTTTGTTTTCTTTTTGGTGGATCCCTTTTGGCCCCTTTTGGGTAGACCTTGGTCTCTTTTTGTGAACCAAACCCCTTCCAGCTTTTGTAACCTTTTTATTTTAGTCTAACATTAGGGAGTCTCTGGTACTCCTTAAAAAAAATATTTAAGATTTTTATTTTTTTAATAATAACTTTTTTTATATATTTTATCTCTAAATTTCATAATTTACCAAATCTATTTAATTTATTGTTAAATTCCCTGGCAAAGGCGCAAAAAACTTGATCCTGAAAATATAGTTGTGTAAAACTTATAAAGTTGACCCTGCTTTACAATGATGCCAAAAACTTGATGTGTTACTTTATAAATAAGAAATTTAAGCAATTTATGTTGGGATTCTACGCAAGTATACAAAGCGTTATCATGTAATATAAGACTTTCTATTTAAGCCCCAAATATCGATCTCACAAGGAAGTTTTAAATTGAAATGATAAGTTAACTAGGAAATTCATTGAAATAAAACAAAATTACTGTCACTAATTTTGAATTTTTTGAGATTCTAAACTACTAGCAAAATTAAAATGAAAAATTTAAACAATAACTACTAAACTATGTTTTATGTGATGAAGTTTTCGAATATGAAATAACATATTTCCCACTATAATGAGTTTTTGGTAAAATGAGATGAGATAAATAGATAAATGGTTTAAATATATGGTTTAAATATGTATTGTGCCAAATAAAATCAATTTTAATTCTCTACCCTGATTCAGTGTTATAGAAAATATTTGGCTAGTCTCAGGTTTAGTCTTTAAATTCATAGTTAGGTTAGGAGGATACTGACTTTCACTCCAGAGTTCCCACTTCCCTCCCCCTGAAGGCTAACACTCACTTTTGTTCTCAAACACTAAGATCAAAATGGGAATTTTAGTCTGCCACCCTAAAATCTCCAATTCTACACCCAACAAAATATATTTTCCTATTTATTTGCACTTAATTCCATGAACGAAATACCCTTCATGGAATTAAATGTGATTCTCACTCTTGTTGTAGAACTCATTCTTCATTTCCGAGATCATATATTTCACAATATATTTCAACAATTCAATTAGCCAGACCGAAAAGTAAATTAAGACTAGAGTTGAAAAACCATCACAATTTATTTTATATTTTAAAATTGGCACATCCAAATTATCTCTTCATTTCACCATATCTCAGAGTAGGGAGAAAGATAAAGGAAACTACTCAGATAATGAGAAATATACAACAAAACAAAAATTTCATATACAACAGAAAATTCTCCAACAAAAATAAACAAACACCCCTTACCTGAAACTCTTTCTCAAAGCAAATCCCTTGTAGCCTCTCTTAAAAGATGTAGGAAGAAGAAATCTCTCACTTCTCTCCCTCTCTAATACTCTTAGAGAAGAATTCACACTTAAACTCACCACAAAACCTCAGAACTCTAAAGAAATAAATGACTAATGGACTCTAAGTGGCTGTGGGGAATGTGGAATAGCGTGGAAGAGAGTAGAAAGCAGTCAAAGGGGGCGAAGAGAGGTATTTTCTGATCAATTTCTACTCTAAATAGAGCCTAATGTCAGTTTTCCAATAGGTGCATCCAAAAACTCTTCAAAAAGTGTCCAAATTCGTTGAATCTTCTTGAAACAAGTTTTGCACCAAAATTGGTGCAATTGGCGCCAGTGGCCCGTGAACTCTTTGTTAAATGGCGTCATCGGTGCTGCTCTTAGCGTCGTCAGTGCTGAGGATAGTCTAGCTTCTGTCCTATAGGTCGGCGTCCATCCTGGGGTCGTCGACGCTGAGTATTTTTTCAAGAATGTCATTTTGACTCCAATTTCCATCTTTTTTGCTTCATTTTTGCTTCAAGTCCTAAAAATCAATAACCTACAATAAAACATGAAAAATGCCCTCCTTTAAAGCGTAATATCATAAAAAATGAGTATAAAATATAGGTCTAAATATGCATATATTTTTGGTGTATCAATTCCTTAACTTCTTACTATGGCTAGACTTATATATTCTCTTGTAGTAGTTGGATTGATGAGTCCATTACAATTCGGGTCTCACCCGGACTTGAGTTTTACAAGAGACATTATGAATTTTAACTATGACAATTCCATCTCAATTTTGTTACTTCTTTTTTCTTTGTTTTCATTTGATAGTAGTAGCTAACATATTTGATGAGTAACATGTCAATGAATTTACACTATCCTTATAACTGCTAGAGGTTCTTAATTAAGGAATATAAAGATTCCTGGTGTTGGTGCTCTAAAACCAATATATCAGGGATAATCTTATATTTGGAATTAGAATCTATAAAATCATTTATAAGTACACAATATATCTGTGTAGTGATTCCCTTAGAAATTGGAAGTTAGTTAGTGAGATGCAATGAGTTAAAGGAAGAATTTTCCTCATTTATCATGTGTGTTTATATTTGTGTAACAAATATATAATGATTTGGAGAACATATAAATATATATATTTCTATGCCAATCTTGTTATGCTTGTTAGACATTTTTTTTCATTTTATCGGGCATGTTTTAGTTTTGACTTACTTTCTACTGCATATTATTTTGTCCTGATGAATACTTGTAGAAGTTTGTGATAGATATAATTTCTGAACTATATTTCTACCTGCTTATATTTTATGTATTGAATGTTATACATGTTTAAAATCAAGTTTAGGGGTAGGAAGAAAAATAAATTTTAAAGTTA